ATGGGGGGTGATGGGGGGTTATGGGGTGATGGGGGGTTGCGGGGGGATGGGGGGCTGGGGGGAGATGGGGCGGTTATGGGGTGATGGGGAGACCTGTGGGATCTCTATGGGTCCCTGTGTGTCTCTACAGGTCTGTATGGGTCCCTATGCGTCTCTATGGGGTCCCTGTGGACCTCTGTGGGGTCTCCATGGGTCCCTGTGTGATCTCTACGGAGCCCTGCGGCTCTCTATGGGAAACCCACGGGTGTCTATGGGGTCCCTGTGGACCTCCATGGGTCGCTATGGGTCCGCGTGGGTTCGTGTGGGGCAGACGCACGCGGTTGATGTCGGCCAGCAGCGTTCCGTCGCGCGGCACGAAAACCTTCTGGTTGTTGGAGCGCATCCGGCTCCGAATGGTGAACAGCAGCACCTCCAGGTGACCCTTCTCGGTGAACCTGGGGGGGAGGTGGCACTGGGTGGCACCGGGTGGCGCTGGGTGGCGCCAACGTGGCATCGTATGACCCTAACAGGCCACCGTACGGCACCATATGGCACCATACAACACCGATACGACGCTGTGCAGCACCAATATGGCAGAGTGTGGCAGCGCGGTGACCCCAATACGGCCACGCTGCGGTGCCAGCACAACCCCACACCGCCCCACTCCGCCCCACAGCGCCCCATGCGGCCCCACAGCGCCCCGCGGCTCCCCACCGCGCTCACTTGGGGGGTTTCTCCACGGTGCGGTAAGTGTTGAAGGCCTGCAGCTGGCTCTGCACGCCGCTCAGCCCCATAGATCCCCACTGGCGCTCGTTCAGGGCCACGACGGTGCGGTCGATCCAAGCCAGCAGCTCCGCCGCCATCGCCTCGTAGCGCTGCACCAAACGCTCCGCCAGCAGCGCCGCCTCCAGCACCTGCAATGCATCGCGGGGGCACCGCGTCAGCACCACGGACAGCGCCACCGCCAGCACCACGGACAGCACCGGATCAGCACCACGGACAGCACCGGATAACACAACGCACAACAGCATTTCAGCACCACGGACAGCACCGGATCAACACCACGCACAGCACCAGTTCAGCGCCAGGCAGAGCGACGGATCAGCACCACGGACAGCACCGTATCAGCACCACGGATAGAAACGGATCAGCACCACGGAGAGCTCCATCCATTCACCCATCCGTCCGTCAGTTCATCCATCCATCCGTCCGTCCGTCTGTCCATCCATCCGTCTGTCCATCCACCCATCCGTCCATCCATCCATCCATCCATCCGTCTGTCCATCCATTCTTTCATCCATCCATCCACCCTTCTCTTTCCATCCATCCATCCATCTGTCCATCCGCCCATCTGTCCATCCATTCTTCCATCCATCTATCCATCCGTCTTTCCGTCCATCCATCTGTCCATCCATCCAACTGTCTGTCTGTCCATCCATCCGCCCATCCATCCATCCACCTGTCTGTCCGTCCATCCATCCATCCATCCGTCTTTCCATCCATCCACCCATCCATCCATCCATCCGTCTGTCCATCCATCCATTCACCCATCCATCTGTCTGTCCATCCACCCATCCATTCATCCATCCGTCTGTCCATCCATCCATCCATCCACCCACCCATTTCCCCACCCACCCATCCGTCCCTCCTTCTACCCTTCCATCCGTCCCTCCACCCTTTCCCCCTCCTCCCCCCTCCCCCCTCCCCCCCACCAACATCCCTCCGTCCGTCCGTCCGTCCGTCCCACCTTCCCGATGCGTTTCCCCTCCACGGCCAAGGCTTTCATTTTGGAGAAGTAGTGGTACAGCGTGGCCACGTAGGTCATCACGGAGCGTTCGTCGGGCTGCTCCACGTCCACATCTGCGCCGCGGCGTCACTGCGCTGCAGCCACCCCAAAATCCCCCC